ATTTTAATTGCTGTTAACAAACTATCCATATGATGTGGATCTAGGAGCAATGGGCGTGACGAACCTTTTACCTTGTCGCGCAAAATCGTCCGAGGTCGTACGACTTTAGCTGTCGTCGAAACTGACAGTGGACTTTTTCTTCTCTAATATAAAATATATACTTAACATGATGCACTGGATACTTGGATTTTTTAAAGTTTTCATGAGGAAATGACCTAATGCGTTAAGTACTGATGGACTTTTATGCTGTTTTATAAATAAAAATCAAATAAGTATAGATGTCCATGACATAATTTGAAAGCAACTATCTTTGTGACCGTTTACACAGTCAAAATAATTTTTTAATTTCTAAAAATCTCGTCTAGGACATATGCCAAAATAAACTTTTATACAAATTCATTTTGTCACGATAAGAGTCTAAACAGTCAACCGTTTCCCAATATTTCGGATCTTTTTTTTCTTCTTTCTTATATACTCGGAGGTGGTGCGCACCTGAATGCTGGCTGGCTTGATCCGCATGCTCTCGGTACAGCTAAGAAACTGATGCGCAGAGCCACGCCCTAATGCTACAGTGTATTTCACTTCTCAATGTTTTATTACTGTGAAAATTACATACACGTATGAATAACAATATATCACAAGTATATGTACACTAAATACAATTGTGAAATGACAGAAAGAGAAAAACCTTCGCAACTGGAAGAAAATTACCTTTCCTGAAAGTTTCCCTTCTTATTAAAAAACAAACCAGATGAACAAAAGTATTGCAAATATATCTTATATCACCAAAATATCAAACAAGCATATGTCCGACATGATTTATGTATGCTTCTCGTAATTGTGGTAAGTATAATAAATGTAATATGTGGAAGAAAAAAAACTTTAATGATTAATTTCTAGTCAGTTAGTATTATAATGCGCAGAACTAAAATGTATTCATATTAACAAAAATGTAAAAATGCAATAATGAGGACTATATAACACAGGTAATCAAAGGGATGTATCACTTCTTCTCAGAACTAAGAAGTGAAAGCAAAGAATAATATGCCAACCATACTATATCCAGTGCCGAAGAGGCTCTTCGTCCAACACCAGGACTCATCAGGCCAGCTGGGATAATTACATGGTATTCTAATCAGAACATACATCGTTTCAAAGATCCACTCACAGCACACAAATTGTTTCGTAATTTTCTTAAACAATTCTTACTTTAATTAGATATCTTGACCAATTTATACATTAATAATGCCATTCATTCACCTAACTTTATCTTACCTTGTTTTGGTAAAAGTTACTGTAGGATACACTTTTTCGACTGGTTTCGCAGTACCCAATCCTACTTTGATAAGACTGCATTTTGAACAAACGTGAATCGTGTGACTCGCACGCAAGTTTAATTGAGTTTCGAAAAATCGCCTCAATAAATAGATATGTCTTAGTTAATCACAGTAAAATCGGCTAATAATTTAATTAACTGTTCTTAAATTCCACAACCAAAAGTAGGAGCAAGGTCGTTTACGAAAATTTTATATCCCTTTGCGATGAAGTACAAAAGCGATAAGTAAAACACGTATACTTATATAAACTTCGGGTTCTTTTATCAAGCAGTAAGGGACTTGAGTATCCGTATACCAGGTTCCGTGCTCCAGTAATTTCCCTTGACTTTAGATCCGGATATCTAAGTTGTGGCGGTTTTTTTCTTTCTTTTCTTCTTCTCTTACGAACGAACTACTACATAAGCATGTGAAGACATTTCACGTAATGGCCAACTAGACTGATGGGAGCACTATACAAGCAGACCGGCTAAGCTTGTATGTTCCCTCCTCCTTACTTGAAGCCCTCCCTCCCAGCCGCTCAGTTCCTTCAAAACTCAAGGTTGAGGAACTTTGGCTGTGCTATACACACGACATACAGCTTTTCTAGTAGTGAGGTCAGTCAGGTCTAACTTCCTGTGCCAGTCGATTCCAGCTCTATCCCTTCTACCACGTGACGTGCAAGCCGTTAAAATACCAATATCGACTTCGAAACAAGTGTCCCACTCCCTCATACTACTCCATCGCCATCTATTGACAGCGTAAAATTATCGGACCATTTTTATATCTGTGATTTTTTCATAATAATTTTTTTTTCAAATCAATAAATATCTTAAGAGTTTCTTATTATGAAAAGTAAATTGTGTTATCAGGATATTTTGCCCGTTTGTAAACAAACGACGAAGTACATTAAAAAAATGCTTTCTTGTATTCTCAATACATCGAATTACGTCAAATTAAGATGCTATATTCCCTACAATTTAAGCATTTTCTTCTCCATCAAACTCTTTGTTATATAATCGCAAAACTTCTCAGTGAGTTATCTGCGCACCGCAAGGATTAAACCTCAGTTTTTACATTATTAGACCTCAAATTTACCGTTGATGCCACCGGAAGAGAGTCTCAAACATAGTTACTACATTAGATATTTTCCTACATCTTTACATTATTTCACTGCATGTTTAAATAACTAGTACAAATAAATACCTACTCAATGAATCACTGTTTATTAGTGCTGCCATCTAGTAAACAAAATGTTAAGAAATATACTAACTGTAATGATTGCGTAAGGGTAAATATAACGCACTTCACGAGGTTAAAAATCCTTCATTACGACAAAAGAAATAAAAACAAACTATTTTCTGGTAAAAGAAAAGGTTACTGTTACACTTCTAGAAACATTGACAAAACAATGTTCTCACAAATTATTAAGTTTTGAAGCATGATACACCACTGGTAGCTTGCTTGATAGAAAATTTTAAAATATTGTCGCTTTATCCTGAAGCAAAGTTACGCAAATAGTTTTTAATCAGTTATGTACGCGGGACAACTTTCAAGTAACATAAGACAAGCGTTTTTTTGGGGGGAAGGAGGTTGCTAGGTGAGATTATGGGGACTACGAATTGCTTCTAGAACACATACGATAAAAAAGCCATAAGCAAACACGTCCTCTTTTATTTCTATTCAACTTGTCTTGTAACCACTTTTATGATATGAAACGAAACAGTGAATTCTAGCGTACTAACACTTAATAGCATATCACAATTAGTTTTGTTTTTACTGTAAAATCCTACAAGTTTCTGTGTTTCATTAATTTCAGAGCTAAAATCGTTTTCTCCTCAAATAATTCGCAGCAAGCAAAATGTGGAAGCAAGTGTTTCTTTTCGTAGTTGTTGACAATTTGTTTCACTTTGAGGGCATAAGAGCAGGAAGGCCACCCGTTCACTCCGTGTACGTCAGTTTTTAAAGACAAAACGCAATGATTAAAAATTATCCTCTGTAAAATGTATGGTTTGTGTGTTTTGAATTTCGCGCAAAGCTACACGAGGGCTATCTGCGCTAGCCGTCCGTAAATTAGCAGTAAAAGACTAGAAGGAAGGCCATCACCACTCACCGCCAACTCTTGGGCTACTCTTTTACCAACGAATAGTGGGATTGACCGTCACATTATAACGCCCCAATGGCTGAAAAGGCGAGCATGTTTGGTAGGACAGGGATTCGAACCCGCGACCCTAACCGAGCGCCCTAACCATCTGGCCATGCCAGACCAATATGTATGGAATACAAAAAAACAAAGTGTTTAAATCTCGATATTTATCTAATAGAATTGATTTCATATAATAAATTTGTTTGTAATTTAGCACAAAGCTACACAATGGGCTATCTCTGCTCTGCCCACCACGGGTATCGAAACCCGGTTTCTAGCATTGTAAGTCCGCAGACATACTGCTGTGCCACTGGAGGGCTCATATAATAAAAATATGATTTATCTTACATTTGAAAATATATAATGATTTTCTGTAGACTGCTACAGTCGTTACTTAAAGTGTCACCGGGGAAACGTGTAATTTAGTTATGGATTCATAAACTTTTTTTCCGAGGCCTATTAAGTTAATGAACTTTCATTAGGCACAGCGACCCACTGTTTAAGTATACATTATTCTATTGATGTTTAAAAATGTTGAATTATTACAAGATATATTCCAAGTTGAAGTTTATTTTGGTTTTATTGAATTTAAGAAGCGATGACAATCATCATCACGCTGCTGTATACTTTATATCTTCATACAGTGATTTATCCCTCAGTTACTCAAGTAACCTGTAAGTTTTAAAAGTTGACAACAGCGATATATAAAAAATGTTTAAATGGCAAAAACAAAAACTACTTAATGTTGAAGCGTTGTTAATGTGAGGATGTTTATTAATTACGCACGAAACACGATATTAGCCACTATTAAGATTTGTTTGTTTGAAGTTAAGCACAATGCTACACGATGGGCTATCTGTGCTCTACCCAACACGGGTATCGAAACCCGGTTTCCAGCGTTGCAAGTCCGCAGACATGCCGCTGTGCCACTGGGGGGGGGCGCTACTATTAAGAGTATGAATGCTGGTATCCAGGCTACTTAAGGAACGAAATTTCCATCAGAACAAGTAATTGAAAATAACTTCAACTTTGTACGGAACTCTCACTGCAACCATTGATGAATACCTATCTGTAATTTTAACATTACTTAATATTAACTTCTATAATAAACACAGATATATCAGACGTATGGACGATAAAACCTCTTCCAATTACCACTGCAATGGATTTAAATAACATTTTGAATCCTGTACGATAATTTTTAGCATTCACGTCCCAAAGCACAAGATGCTTGGCAACTTTTTCATATTGTTAAAAAAACGTAACATTCATTAGAAAACTATTGCATTACGCGAGTTTAGCAAAACGACTAGTAAGCAAATTAAATTTCAACTAATTTAAATGACCAGTATCAAAAATCTACAGCTTGTATCGAACAGCAAGTTGTTCTATACGAATACCTAACAATGTAATTTCTTTTTACGAGTGTTAAAAGTACTTACTGGTGTACTTTTCATCTCAGGCGCCTAAAAAAATCCATCTTAAAACACAAAAAATCATGTAATAATATATATGCACGCACACACACACACAAAACTTACGTTCTGATGAGGGTAGGTTCCATATGCCGGTGGCACCAGAGGAGTGGGATATCGACCTGAAAGGTAAGGTCTAAAGGGAGGAGGACCTGAAAGACCAGTGGCTGACCAACCACGAGGCTTGGCACTGTAAGATGGGCGTGGCTGTAGAAACAAACACAAAAAGTAAAAATTTATTTCGCTTCTCTTTTGTTGTTGTAATTTCTGAAACTAAAATAAATTAGCAGTCACACTCAGAATAAAATGTAAAAAGGCAACAAATTATGATTACTTTTAGCTTTTTTTGTAATTTCTTCGATTGATAATAAGCATAAATCTAATTCCTGTTTAACAGAATTGCCAATCCAAATGGAAACTCGTAAAAAAATTATCTCAATTCAGAACAAGGTGTTTTTAGCAAGGCTTGCAGTCACTATTGGTCACTATCATTCCAATGGGTCAGAATAACCTAAAAACTGGTTTAAATGAACACACAGAAATTACACTTTTTTTTTACCTTCATAAACAACATATTTGAGCTCTGTTTACTGAAATACAAAAGTATGAGAACGGTATGAGACACCGATCTACCCGCTAAAAATAGACATTTATCAAGGCCGGGTACTTGGGTTGCATCCCTTGATAACAGAAGTTAACATTAATATAACAAAGAGTTTCGTATTTTAAGAACCGATCGTACAACAATTCACTGCTTTTATACCATTTTTATCGTCATTTCACGTGCTGCGATAACATACAGGTGAACTCAACATATATATCAGAAACTCTGAATTATGGTGTCATCACTTCTTTTTATTCTTAGCTTATCTGCATTAGTTTCCGAAAATCCATAATACTGTTACCACCAACACCGAAGAGAGAAACAAAGTAGATGGCAACAATTTTTCACAATAGAAAACTAAAATATATTTATAACGAAGTCTACACAAAATCTTCACAAATGAGTCTTCCTATGCTATTGTTTTATAATTTATACAAAATCACTCTTTTCGAGGGGGAACAAAAAAAGAAAAGAAAGAAAAACAAAACATGAATATTGTTAATATCGGCTATGGGGCATATATCTTTTATTTAGTTTCGCAGCTCCATCAGATTGGACTTGCTTTTCCCAAAATTAAACTCAGTAATTTGGAAAAGAAATATAACTGAGCGATTCCGCGTGCAGGAAGTACAAATTATTGATAAAAATTGAAAAAACAAAATAAAAAAAAACACATTTTTTAACCAATCAGATAGAACGTATCAAACGTTTTCGGCGTGTTGCACTTTTGTAGACCAATCACATACAGCGTACTAAAACCCTGCGATGACAACAAAGCTTTATAAACATTGAAATTCACGATTAGCGTTAAATGACATGCCTTGCTCATATTCTGGGAATTTCAGGTGAAATCAAACTCTTTGAAGAACAAATGTGGCGAAAATTCTTAAGAAGTGTACATGTGTAGCAAGACTTGACCGGGTTTAGGCTGAAATTGAAAGGAATTTCACAGGAAACTTTGGCGAAGTTGTCGATAACAAAACGACAACTGGTGAACTTAATGTTAGGCCTAGCCTATGCGTACCTAACTTAAGCGATGAAGGTCAGTTACCATAAGCGATGCTTCCACTTCATATTCTAACTCTTTTTCTGGAAATTAATTGAAATGTTATTCAAAGCACTGCAGTATTCAAGTGTACAGGCGGAAATTGCAATGTATTGCAGTCAAAATGCTTCTTCAGGGTTGAATTTCACAAAAGGTTTCCAAAGATGAATTCTTTCATTTTGTTCCAGATGCAGAATTGCCAAGAAGACCCCCTGACTCTGAGCCTGTTGCTAAGAGGTTCAAGTACAGGGGTTGACCAAAGATACCAGTCAATACGTAGTCATGTTCTGCCCCAGATATGTGTAATTTGTCGGTGTGACAATTGCACAACTGACAATTTCAACCGAAAAGGACGCAGAGAGCATTTGGTGTAGTGTGAATTTGTTGACTGTTACTTGAGGGTGCAAGACTCAGACAAGATCGCAATATACTAGTTCATATAGAAAATCAAGACTATATCGCCAAGGGGATGAGATATTACTCTACCTGCCACAAAGGTTACACTCGCTTCCTCTCTAAGCATCGGCCTATACAAGAGGAAAGACAAGGAAATACTCCGTCTCAACAGTCTAAAGAAACTCTTTGATAAATATGTGTATCAATGCGAAAGTAATGAGTCTATTGCACATAACACCTGGAACCCGAAGAAACGTCTGCATGTCAAGTACCCACAGTTAAAAGTTTCTGAAACCGAACAGGATAAATGAGAGCAAATATGCGTTTGTCAACAATCTATCTGCAGAAGAGATTGTCCAGGACTCTACAGTTTTAAGAGATTTCACATCAGCATTTCGAACTGATGATACTGACACAACGGATAGTGAAGACATAGTCACAACTCAACTATGCACATCAACTAGACAGTCACTAACAAGAAAAGACAGAATCCGTACCTGAACATCATGCAATGGGGAATACTTTGAGGGAACGCTTTAGTAGCCGTGCTTTGAAATATTGTTAACATACACCTTTGTGTGTGTGGTGGGGGGGGGGGCGCACATATTAGGGGTAGGTCAAGAGAGTTTGGGGGTCCTGCCTCTTAAAAACTCTGTGAAGAGCACTGGTAATGAACTGACTTTTACCCGATGAATGTCACGGTTGAATTAACGAGAAGCTGTGAAAGTTTGTAGATTTTATCCTAACAAAGAAATAATTTGTTGAAAAAATGCTCATCATAATTGTTCCAACAGTAGTGCATGAAGATGAAGTTATACTTCACTGTGGTGGGCATAATTGATATTTGTCTATTCATCAACAGAGATAACACAATTAAAACCTCACTCAGAATAAGCCAAGTCGCCTTACCCCCTCCTGTCAGCGACTCTTGTTGAACAAAGGCCCCTCTCTATGTTGCCTTCTTATGGAGTAATATGATATGAGAAATGGTACTGCCAAGAGGAAAGATTATGTGAATATTATAGGACTTGCATGTGCCCCAGCCCTTCTCATTATCCTCAACATCTTTCTGTACCCTCCATCCCTAGATACTTTTAAAATCACGCAGTAACACAAATGAGGCAGTATTAAGCAGTTTCTTATGGAGATGCAATAAGCCCTTTATCATATTTCATTTTGCAATGAGTTTAACACTGTGTTGTGAATAGGCCCTACACTATGAGAGGCTGTTTACTCAAAAAAGTCATTTAAAACATAAATGGTCATATTTCATCAATGTGCAATATTTGAAGACATACTTAGTCCACATTATGTGTGAATTTATTTCCAAATGTCATAATGGTCTAGGAACATAGCACACACACCATCTCTCCTGCCTATATTACCATGAAGAAGGGTGTACCTCATGCTGATGCAGTACAACCATCACTGAGAGGTCTAGGAAACCCTGGCCATCCAAAAAAAGTGTGGTTGTGATGAAACACCTGAAAGTGCTTGCAACAGGAGAGCTCCGGGTTGTAATTGAGCTTCTGTTGATGCAGGCGTCACTTAAGTTTGTTCAGGTTCCTCCTCTCCTGTAAACTTTTCGAAATTACAACTTCAAACTCGGTCACTACAGAAAATGTCTTCATTAAGATGTGAATGTTTCTAATGCATATACGATGTAGTATAATTTCACTTCACAGATTTTCAGTAACTTATACGCCAGGATAACCTCACGATCTGAACCTGTCATATTGTGATATGAATGTCTTCCCACGCAGCTGTCACAGATAGTCCTCTCAAACAGTGATATTTCTTCAGGTCCTTCTTTTTTAAGCCTTGAACTTGACCCAATAGACAGTTCAGCCCTCTTCTGGATCAAAATGGCAGTACAATTGAGATGCGACTGCGTCCCAGACTAAACTATGTATGCTCCGAAAACTCGTACGTGTGAAAAATGTTGAAAAATCTTGGTGAAAGCAAAATATTAGCCTATCTAAACTGTACAAGAAAAAAAACACTGAGTGTTCTTGATGTAACATTCACACCTGTATTTATAGGACAAATTTAAATATGGACAAAAATGTGAAAACAGACAAAAGTTTGTCACAATTCTAAATAATGAACGGAGAATGTATTATAACACTAATGAAAACTAGGGTAGTTACTGTGCTAACGTGTGTGTGTGTGTGTATACAAAATTAAGATGTGATGTTGAATAAAACTCAGTTTTATGTTTTTGAAATATTATGGGATACTAAGTTTGAAAAAACTGCCAAAAAATGTTGGAGTAATTTAACAATCACATCAAGAACTAGCGTCGTGTCCAGCTTTTAACATCTCACGATAAAATAATGCGTGAAATAAACAGTCTAGGCATCACGGTTGTAAGTCCACTTTCTACATATTACTTTCAACATTTAAAACGGATAATAAGTAAATTCTGCGCATTTAGTTTTTCTAAAACTGTCGGGACTTGGTAAAAAGAAAAACGTCCATCCTTGTGTAGTAGAGAAATGGACACACTATCATTACAAACCATTAGTTGAATCCAATATTATTTGAAAAGTACGAACACAAAACCAATGTCAGTCTAAACATATCGAACTCTGATGTGAATTGTTTGTCACCATTTTTCTATATTCGACCGCAGGAACTATAAAAATTTTATCATAATATACAACTTTCTAAGGCTTCAGTTATTGTAAACAGCTGAAACCTTTACAAGTGTATAGGAATCACTAAAAAAGATAAACTATTAATTCATTAATCTTTTCACTATCAGTTGGATTTTTGAAGAATTCTATTCTACCGAT